CCGGAAAAGAGGAAAGTCCCTTGGCAGTGAGAGGAGTTTTGGACTGTGGTTCGATTTGACATCTAAACTAGATCTTTAGTTAATAATTATAAGAGATATAAGATATAAAGAGGTTGATTTTACCGACTTTTAAAAAATGTTGATTTTTGTTTAATCTATAATAATATTTATATATTTGTTTTCCTTAATTACAGGGTATTTTTCTTATGGCTACCATTTAAGACCTTTGCTTTTTCTTTTATATCATTTTACTTTTGGCAGTTTTCGGGCTTTTCCTCTCTTTTTTTCTTTTTTTTTTTTTGTGCCTCACAATTTTTATCGAGCTATGCGAATTTTCGCTAGTCGCCCGCTGCCCTGCCCCCGCCACGCCCCCGCCCGCAACCACCGCCCCTCTTTCCTGGATGTTGCTTTATCATTTTTCTTCGTCTGGTTTCCCCCCACTTCAGCCCCCCTTTGTTGCCATATCTCTCGCTTTATATTTGGCCAAGCTTAGTTTTTTGGGTTCGAAGGCGACTTGCACTGCCAGCGACATATATTCAACCGAATAAAAACTCTACAAAAAAAAGAGGAAGTAGGGTGAGGGAAGCAATACATTCACATTTTGTATCATTCGGTGTGTGTGTGTGAGTGTGTGTGAGTGTGAGGGGACAAATGATAAATGAATTTGTGATAAATGAAGCATGTGGCCAAAAGTTGAAAATACTTTTTACACACAGTTTTGGAATCCGTTTTTATAGAGGGAGAGGAGGGTTTGTGGGCGTTTGGCAGTGGCCAAATGTCTATCGAATTATGAATGGAAAGGCGCTTATTGCCAGTTCAGATATCACAAGTCCGACAGTTTTGGACAAAGGCAGCCCGGCTTCATTAACATTGGCTTTTCCCGCCCACTTTTACCTGTTTTGCCCCATTTTCCAGCCCCCCATTCATTTCTGGCCTTTATTTTGTGTTATGCAAACTTTTCTGACATTTTCCAACTAATGGAGGTGCAGATCTTTAGGTTCTGCAAGTGATGGGCATGATTTGCTGTTCGATTTGCGTAGAGAAAAAGTAGAGCAACATTATAATAAAATGCTAAAAAAAATAAACACAAAATTAACAAACAGACTTGTAGAAGTTCCAGCTCTATAATATCAAAATTCTTAAGATATAAAAATTTTTTCCAGTAATATTTTTAAAAATGTTAAAGAAAAAATACAAATTTAAATTACAGAATTATTATAATGATATAATATATTTTTTCCAGTGATATTTTCACTCCAGTTCCAAGCTTCTTCCCCATTTTCTTTGAGAAAGTAGCCAAACAAGTGAATCAGAGAAAGGAGGAGGAGGAATGGAGCCGACATCCAAGGTGTGGGAGAAATGGGTGTGTGGGGGGAGGCGGGGTCTGAGTTTGGGAACCAGAAGTGGAGCGATTACTTTTGAATAGTTTAACAGCTGTTCCAAGTGACTGTGCAATGGAGGAATCGAGGAGAGGAGAAAAAAAAGTGGGAGGATGCAGTAAAATAAATGGTCAAGTAATTGGGAATCGAGATTGGTGCGGGGATTAAGTTGAAAATGAGTGGCTATTTTTCACACTGAGTTAATGTTGCTTTGCAGCTCTGCTAAAAAATGCATTCTCATGGCTAGATTTTGGGGAAATAATATAAGCAAAATAAAGCTAAGGAGATAGAGATTTTTAAATTAAATTATACCATTATGAAATTATATTTTACAGATATATTTCCAATATAATAAATTTTCTTTTTATAACTAGCACCCACACAAAAGCTGGTTGCCAAAAGTGTTGTTTCTCTTATTTTCCCTGGCAATTTTCTAGAAAACTTCCCACTTGATCCATGCAAGTTGAGTCCACAATCCAAGCCAATCCAATCTACGCCCGAGATCCCGAGACTATTTCCGAATCCAGAATGTCTAGACGGGGTCTCAAGGTGCCCATTGTTTTGTAGCCCGTCTGTTGGTCAGCTTGTGTTGCCATGTAAATCAATGCATTATTTTCCCACGTCGTTTTTGTTTTTTTTTCCCTTTTTTTTTTTTTGAACAAAAAAGCCAAAACTCATTTATCAGAGGCGGCATTTCAACAACAAAAGCAGCCAACAAAAACAAAAACATCGGCCCACACACAACAACAACAAGAACGTCAACAACATTGGGGGGCAATATCGAACAAGAAATGAGCAGCATCATCATTTATATAGCCCATAACCATTGCCCATATAAGTCCGTATTCGGAATTGTGTGAGGCCTGTGTAAACAATCGTATGCTGATGATTATATAGTGTGATGCCCATTATCGCATCAAATCGAATTCAATCGAATAGAACTAAAGAGTTGGGCTATATCTTAAAATGGTTATGGTTAAAGGGTTTATATTTTTATGATCTTTGTGATTAATAGAACAGTTTTATATAATATATAGAATTTTATACCTGGTTGATACATTGTTTAATGAGTTTTCTTGACTAGCATATCATATCATCCCGAAACCTTTAATTATTTAGTTCCCTAACAGATCCAGAGTATTTCCAATTCGTTTGGTCCCCCTGCAATTTAGTCTCTCTATTCCAATTCTTTGATTTCTTTGTTTTTATGGTGGACAACAAACATTTAATTTATGGCCAACATTTAATTGCGAAAATTCAGCTTGTTTGTGTCGGCTTTCTAGGGCGTTATCCAACGCATAAATACGCACACACCCATCTATCCCATATATCCCAACTATCGGGGAGCACATATATTTTCGTATATGTATATATTTCAAATAATGACCACAAAACTGTCATTAGACACGGCGCATAAACAGTGGACAACACAACGAAATAAAGGCAGGGGAAAAAGTATACGAAAAAAAAGACGACTACGAAAATTAAAGTGGATGGCAAACAGAGCGCATCGATGGCATTGAATAATAATATTTCACTGCTTCGCCAACTCCTTGGGATATTATGCATATACCATACTATATAGTAGTCCCCATACCATCCTCTGGTACCTCTTCTTCTATTTCCCCGCCGCTGTTTGTTCATAATTTGTTTGTATGGAGTGTTTGTTGGCCTGCTGGGGTTTGGGTTTCTTCTTTGAGGAGTGGGGTCTGTGCATATTCCATTGATTTAATTGATTCGAAAAAAAGGAGGAGAGGGGAAAAATTCAAATCACGAAAGTGTTAAGAAATCGAGTGAAAGAAGCCAGAAGAAGAGTCTTGGAATCGGAACCCGAACCCTTCCTGCCATCTCTTTCCATCTACCACAGGTAAGACCCCCTCTCTTTCTGTTTAAACAGGTTCTGTCAGCGAACCGTGAAGAATTCTTTTTCGTGCACCGAAAGAAAGGTAGGTTTATTTTTTAAAGGTTCATTTAGTAGTTACATAATATATGTATTTATTAGGTCTAAGGAACCAAAGTAAATTAATTTTCTTTTCATTTAAAAAAATTATCAAATACAAAATTTAGAAAATACTTTTTTTTATCATTTTAAAGTAATCTAGAACTCCATTATTTTTCCATTAAATTAATTAGTAATAATGTAAGAAAACTTAAAAATAAATCCACATTTTGTTTAAGTGCACCAGTTTTGTGTGTTTTTTTCTGTTTTTGAACCTGCGTGCCCAAGAGTCAACATTCCTACTCCCCATATCGCCCTCCCTCTCGCTCTCTGACTCTGTTTAAAGTGGAAACCTGTTTTCTCAATAATAAAAACTAATTTATTTACTAGTTGTAGGTACAAAGAACAACAACAACAACAAGCGAGGCCCGTCGAAGAAGAAAACGGCTGAGAAATATACTCATACTCCGAAAACCATGGCGACAAAATAAAAGAGCAAAAGGGAGAAGGAAGAAGAAAAGGTTTTGGACGAGGTAGAAAAGGAAAGAAATAAAAACTGCGTGTGTGGCTAATCAGAATCAAATTGATTTAAATTTGAATGGTTCGACGGGTAAAGTGCGAGGAGTCGGACAAAAAAAAAACAGGGAAAAAAGGTGGAACACAGGTGAGCGGGGGTTTAAGTGAGAAAAAAAAGCGATAAGTTGTTCCCGACTTAAGTGAAGTTTAATCTGCTCTCCTCTTCTTATCTGTAATTTCTGATTTCTTTGACCATTTCGGAATTTTGAGCCCTTTTTTAAAGGTTTACTCAGGCGGAAGAAAATATGTTGAGATAAATCTCCCCGTACTCGGGGAAAAACAAAATTAATAGGGTATTCAAAAAGTAGGCAACATCAATTATTTCTGAAAACCCCCCAAAAAACAAATCCTGCATCCGCCACTGGTTTATCCTATTAAAGGATAATACTCTATACTCTATATACGTTTGGTAATTTGTTTAAACTCGAATTTCTCACGTCATGCAAATTACAATCTAAACTCTAAATTATCGGAATTTTCCCATCTAACTAGGCAAACAACAAGGAATCACAGGTGAGCGCTAATTGTAGTGGCAAATATTTGTCGATCGAGTGTAAAGGAAGAAAAAGGAAGGAGGAAGCCCGAAAACTGAAAACTGAAAATTCGAATGGAGGAACTGAAAATTTTCCCAAAGAGTTTGCAGCTGCAATTGTTGTTGTTCTGTTGCTGTTATTTGAAGGAAAATTGCAGGAAGGCAGAAAAAGTATTTAGGGGAAAACTGTAAACTGTAAACTGAAAACTGAAACTGAAGCCGAAGCTGGGCAAAGAACAATACCCGAAATACGAAGAAAGTATCTTAAAGATAGCAAACTGCACGAAAGCCAAACAAAAGCAGAGGAAGTAACTGTTAAGGGGGGGGTTTTGGGTACCTATATATAAGGTGCCTGGGTGCAAAGTATCTTACAAGTCGAAAGCGCAAAGTTTTGCGCTCACTTTTGACACAGTAGACACAAGACAAGAGATACCAAGATACACACGAGCCGAAAGATACGGATACGGATGAGTCAGAGGAGGATTGGCCATCGGATGGTGGATGGTGGATAGTCCAAAGTGGGTGGGATGGGTAGTTGCCTTAGTTGACAACAGGTGGCTACCACTTCGCTTACCTGTCTGTTTATGTTTTACGCTCTCCAGTTGTTGTTCTTCTGCCCGCTGATGTTGCCGTTCAATTACTACGGCGTTCTACCTTTGTTTTTCCACCTGCTGCCCAAAAAGCTGGACGACTCTGTGCATCCAACAGATGCGCCAAAGTTACCAAAGTTATGCTGCAAAAAGATCGCAAGAGTTGAGTTGATTTTGAATTATAAACAATAATATTTGGAAACAATATTTAAAATTAACAAGGGTTTAAGTTCCAGTTAAATAAAAACTTTTTTTATTTTCAGATCTAAGTATTAATTAACCAGAGAAAAATATTCAATAAGTTCCCATTAAATAGCTAAACAGAATTTATCAGTATAAACTTTCGTTTTGTGTGTAGGCATATCCAAATTATTGTGACAGCCCATCTTGTTCACCAAATGATTCACGCGCCCATGAATATTCATCAAATACGATTTTTTCTTCTTTTCTTATTTAAAAACTTGAGAAATTAACACTTTTATGTGGACAATCCAGTTCTGCGCGCCAGCCCTAAATTTTAATTCCGTTCAAAACTAACAACTTTCTGAGTCATGGCAGATAACCAACCGCAAGCCGAGATTTATAGATGACAAGAGAGGATAGGATACCATTTCATTTTTTTCGGCTGGCCCTTTATAACCGTTTTTAAAGCCCTTTCATTACTCTTCTTTCTCTCGGCCCAAAGCCTTTTCATTCCCTGGAAAAAACCATGACCCCGGGCTAAACCCTTCTGGGTTCAACCGTTGCAAACTTGCCTCAAGTTCAATTTTCTTTTGTTCTATAAAAAGTGGAAAAAAGAAAACCCAACTACTAAATAAAGTTGAATGCGCCAACCGAAAAAAAGAAGATCAAACTTTTGCTAGGCTTGGCAGAAAAGCAGTAGTCATTGCAAAAAAATATTAAGCAGTTTATGAACTATTTGCTACCCCTGTTTCAAATAATATATCAATATTTAGTAAGTTTTGAAAATATTTATGAGTAATAATAATCTTTAACCTTAAATAATTTGGAACTAAATATATATTTTTAGATTATTTTGTATCTTAAAAACTATTTACTTAAAACGCTCTTTGCTACCCTTTGGCGTGAATTTCAGACCGGAAAAGTCGGCCGAAAAACGGCGTGAGATACTCAATCGAATTAAAATGCATTCGAGTAGCAATGACACTGACACGCCCCTCGCCCCCAAAAAAAAAGAAGAAAAAAAGAGCGGAATACGCAAAAAAAAAAACACAGAAGAAGAATAAAGTCAAAGAAAAGATACAAAAGATACGAAATGGCACGGCGGCGGCAACTTAAACTGTGGCAAAAGTTATTGTAACTTTTGCCCGCCGGCAAGGCAAGGCCAATCGAGGGGTTACGGAAGGGGATTTTCATGGGCGGGCGCAATAGGGGGTTACGGTTACAATTGAGGGTGTTGCGTGGGGGTGGGGGTAGAACTGATACTGAAACTGAGGCGCCACGCGCCTACTTGCCACGCATTTCCTTCCACATTCCCGCTTAAAATCTTCTGGCCTTTTTTTTGGTTTCTTTTTTTTCGGTGACCTCAATCTTTAGTTCGATGCGTGACCAAGGGGGGGTAAGAGGGGCGGTGGTTTTTTCCCAGGGCGGAATCTTGCCAACTGTGACTTTTTTTTATACAACAACGACAGCATTTGACTGTTTTACAGGACAAATTTACAAAAAAAAAAGAAACGAATTGAAGTCATGAACCGAATAATAGAATACGCTTGGAGATTATTTGAAAACTACAAAAATTGATTTTTTCCAAATATCCCTAAGATCTTTATTTCCTAGAAAGTAGTTAAACAATTTATAAAATTATTTTAAAACAATTTATATTTATTTCATATTATTTCTTTTAAAATCCCTTTCAGGATAGAACAATAACGAACACAACAGCAATGCAAAGGCCTTAAAAATATTATAATCCCCTCTTTGAGAGTATAAGCCCTGAGAGCAAGCCAGAAATACGCAAGAAATGTTCTTTCTTTGGTCCTGAGCAAGTGGTGTGGGGATTCGCTTACAAAGATGCTTTTTAAATGATTAAACGCTCCGAATTACCGAATTTCTCTCATGTCTTTTTTTTTTTTGGTCAAGTTCTTTTCTTTTGCCTTTTTCCGCTGCTGTTTCGGTTTTTACTTTATTCTTGATTTTTTCTTGACGTCTTGGGTTTTTTTTTTGCTGAAATATCATATGGAATGACATTAAGTCGCAGCTCCCTCTTCTCATTAACATTTACCATTCCGACAAATCGATTTGGGTTTTGATTTGATTTTTAGCATTTTAATTCGAGCATCGTAAAATTAAAATCTCTTTGGGAAAAACGTTTAATATGGAAACAAGATGGCAAAGCAAAGATTTCAATTTTGGGGGAGCGGAGAGCAAATAAAGCAAGATGAAAGAACTTTGATTTCATTCCATTTGATTGGCTTGAGTTGAGCAAAGCTACTTTCTATGGCTCGTTGTAAATATAATTGATATACGGGACATTTCTTATATACATTTAAATGGAAAAACGTTTATAGTTCTACGGTGAAATATTAAAAAGTCTTTAGGATAAAAAATCAAATATTTCCAACATTTTCCCATACAAAAACAGACCATTTTGTGGAAGCCTCGAGAATTCACACGCCGTCAAGAAAAGAAGACATTTCTCAGTTCTCAGACATATCAGAGAAATTAAAAATTATTTCTTCGAAAGATAATTTGGACTGACATTTGCTTTTCTCCCCCAGCAAACTTGCAAACTTGCTGACATGAAGTCATCAACGTGGCCGAGAAGGAGTGGAAATTGTTGGCCAGGTCAAGTGGTTGACCGTGAATGAGCGAAAAAAAACACACATAAATATGAGAATGGAAATGGAAAATGGAAGTGGAGAGACAATTGTCATATGAGCAAGAGCATGACAAAACTGTTTTTCTCTAGCGAAGCGAGAAGTGAAAAGTTTGCCACACACACAAACACCAACAAAAAAATGGGGAAAATTCTAAGGGGAGGGAGCAGCATGTCCGTTTAGTCAGAATTTTTTCTGTATTTTTTTGTTCAAACGTTTATCAGCCCAAAGCAATCAAAGTCAAGTTACCATGGGTCTCTTTTCCCCCAACTAACGAAAACCCCCTTTTCCCAGCCATTCAGCCTCTGCACAGATTGAAAAATCATTTGGAAATTGAATATCTTCAAAGGGTTTACTCTTTCTTCGCTCAATTAAAACGGCAACTAGCAGGGAACTACGAGAAGTAAAAAGAAACCAAATAAGATGAGCACAAGTTCTTATTTAGTTTACTCTGCATAAATTGTAACGTTTTCTTTGATTGGGAAAAATAAACTAAATGGAGATGTTCTTGCGAAAGGCAGATGGACGGATAAACCATTGTTCAAGGAAGCTCAAAGTAAAGAGAAATTAAATATAAAACTGTAAAGACTTTCCAAAATGATTATTAAATAAAATCTCTTATTTGTTTTGCATATATTTTCGTATTTTAAATTTAAATTACATGTGAAACCGCAACTTGTATTATTTTCTCAGTTGGTAAATTGTAATCAAATCAACTTTAAACTTGCTCAAAAGTAAAAACCAAGAGAGCAAGAGCAACCGTTTTCTTTTTTTTCTGATTTAAATTTATTTTACTTTTGCTAATGTTTTCATCTTTATTTTCCGTTTATTTTCATTTGTCGCACGCGGCGACTGCAATAAAAGTTGAATAAATATAACCTTAAACGGAAGACACCACAGCAAACAAACAAACAACAAAAAAGCTAAAGAAAAACAGTACAAAATCATAAAGAAAAAAAAATTAAAATAATAATAAACAAGAAAAATGAAACTCAGACTCGAGGCCCTCGGCTATTAAAAGGGGAAATGGAGAGAGAAAGAGGAAACCCAGTTATTGAAGAGACTTAAACTTGGGCATCGCATCGCAGCCAGTGGAGGAAATTCAAACTTAATTAATAACTCAAAAAATCCGATGAAACTTGCTCAAAATGCTAAAATGATATATACAAATCTTAAATCTCCAGTTCCTATCTCTGGCATCTTTGTCCTATATACCTTTTCTTTGATTTCCTCTGTTCTCAGCGACATTTATCATTATCATCTTAACTTTATTTGGTTCTCCTTTATATAGGTAGTTTTCTTTTTTTCCCCCTTTTGTTTTTATAGCTTGCCCAGACCTAGGTTCACATAATTCTTGGACCTTTTTTTAATTCCTTATTACAGTTAATGGCGATGTTAACTAACTTTTTTGTGGCTTGCCTGATTTATTTGAGCATCTAAAAAATGTCGTGTAAATTTTCATCTCATCTTCGGTTTCCGTTTTCCCGAATTCTATTGGATTCTGACTTTATTCTAGGAAAATCAAAAAATTTAAATAACAAAGCAACTAAAATATTATTGAGAAACCAACTAAATGTACCATCTTGATTTTGTAAACATGAAAAAGTCATAAATTTAAAATGCATTTTCTAGTTGCTGTTGTGTTCAATTTTAATGGCATTTGCTCGGTGTTTATTTCCCTGTCCCTTGGAATTTTATGCTCAACTTGCCCATGGGGCATATTGATCTGCAGCTAAAATAGACCGCAAAAATTGAAATTTTTATTTAGATTCCACTTAATTGGCACTCGAATTGGCTGTGGCTCATTAGCCCCCCAAAGGCCCCCGCCCCTGTGCCCGTGCCTCTTATGCAACACACAGCCAGGCACTTAACAATGTCAGACTCCCCCTGTCGCCGCCCCTGTTCCCCTTCCCCGTCCCCCAGTGGGGAGATCCCCCCTCTTGCCACAGGCCATTAAAATGTCATGCACTTGGCGCGCTAGAAACTAAAACCAAAAACTACGGTCCAAGTTGACTAAATCGAATTTTATGGGAGTGAAAATGGCGCACAACAACTGGAATTCAAAATAACTAAGTGCAACCAAAAATATAGATTGGCTTTTGAAAGTTGTTGCTATTTTAATTGAGAGCTAATTTCACAATCCTAAAAATCCAACTAACTGGAAATTAATAATAGTTAAAAACAAACATTTAAAGTACATTTTGTATTAGGCTCTTGCGATTTTGAAAGTTTTTAAAACCTGGAAACTTTTCAACGTTTTCCTTTTGAAATAATCCTTAAAACGTGGTAAACGAAATGGTTTCAAGAGTTCTACACCAAATTGCTTACATTTTTTAGAGTTATTTATAGTTATTTAACAAAATGTATACCATAGCGGAGAAATTTCTTAGGTTTCGGTAGGAAAAAACCCACAAAAAGGGAATAATATTGTAATGCGAATGAAGAGCGAACCCAAGAGAGGAGTGAGTGAGAGAGAGGATCGATCCTAATCGGAACCTCTCGAGAGAGAGCCCTCTACACCAACGTCTCTTTCTCGCTTGCGCAAAATGCAAGTGAATGGTGCATTTACCGTATTCTTCTTTCGCTCACCTTTCTTCCTTTTTCCTTTGCTTTTCTTTTTAGTCGCTGGTTTAATTTTTTTCGGTAAATTTGCAACTTTTGTTTTGTTTCTCGTATTTCTCGTACTTCTCTCTCACTTTTTTGGCACTGGCTTTTAATTCTCAACTTTATCTCCTTGATTGGCTCACTCACTGATTCGTTGGAATTTTCTGCATTCGGTTTGGATGGGCACAGTAAAAAAAATGGTATATTTTCTGCAATATACAGTTTGTGTTATTATTATTTTCGCACCGATAAATCAGGAGCCGAGAAACCGAAAAGAAAATAAAAAAAGCGCAGGCGAAACGAATTCGAGGCTCGATTTCGATTTTGGGTATTACGAATTACGAAACCGGTTTTTTGTTGTTGTTGTTGTATTTTAACAATTTCTCCCTCGCCCCAAACTAACACACACACCGACGCACAGCAGCAGCAATAATAATAATAAAACACACACAGACAAACACGCGCGCGCCGAAAGGCCGAAAAGCCGAGTTCCGAAGTGGAAATTCAGATTTCCTTCCCCGATTTTCCCGTTGTCCGTTTCTTTTCCCGAGGAAACGTCCGCAGCAAAGTCCAAATTCGATTTGAATCGCAGGCGAAGCGCCGTGAACTACGCAACTCCACATTTCCCACTGTGCGACGTCGAACATTGGCTGCGTTCGACCACGAACTGGTTGGCTGTGTTCGACGTCGCACAGTGGGGCAGTTTGGGTTTTTCCGATACAAAATGCAAGTCTCTTAAACCCATGTGGATGATGGATAATCATTAAAGTTACAAAGTTGGGTATCATATAAAGATTATGCTAAACTCAAATTAAATGAAAACGGAACGACCGAATAATCGAAATGCAGCAAGGCTTGCTTATCGAAAAAGTGTGGGACCAGAGTTACTCAAAAATCTTTATCGAACACGTGTTTTCAGTGTTGTAAAGTCAAAATTTATTTGAATTGTGCTCTGCCATTTTAATTCCTGGCGTCAACTTCAAAGCCTGGGAAATTGGGAAATTTAAAAATTGAAATTTTTAACGACAAGCGCCCTACAATTTCGTCGCATCGTGGAAAATACCTCGAAGTCGAGTTCCTCCTTCTGTTGTTGTAAAATGTTAAATTTGTAACTTTCTTCGGTCAATTGCGCCACTGTGCGTTGAAGTTCGGATCGAACGTATATGGCTAACAGCGCTGCAACAGAGGTTGGGCAGAGGCTCGAACATGCTTGACGCTGCAAGTTCGAGTTGTCGGTGTGGTGTGGACAGTGTTCGAAGCACAACAAAAAAAGAAGTTTTAAGGGAAAAATCCAAATAAACCGAAATAAACTAAATAAACGGAAAACACGAAAAACAAGCTGCTTTTGTTGTATCTCATGGATAAACAGAGCTGGGGTATATGCAGTAATAGAAATTATTTAAGATTTCTTAGTTTTTGCTTAATGCGTGTACTTTTCTGTTTTATTCTCTGAAACTGAATCAAGTAACAATATTTGCATTTTAAAAACAATTGTTTTTTATTTAAAAATACAACCTAATAAAGTAATATTTTTGTTCATAATTTTAATTAAAAGCAAATATGTTATTTAATTACAATAATCGATTTAAATCCCGTTAGTGGGTAACCCAAAGTCGGAAAATGCAACTATAGAATTGTGACTTGTGTCAGTTTTGTGGCTTGATTTTTTTTCGGTTTTGTTGGCAGGAGTGGACGGTGGGGAACCGGTTCAACAGGATGCAGGAGAGCTGCAAATCGCTACCAAAACAAAACAAAAGTGGGAAAAAGGAGAAGAGTTGCCGTCTCGCTCTGGCTATCTCTTTGCATTTTGCCAAAGAGCAAACCAACCTGACAACAATTTTCGCCACTTCTCTTCCTCTTCGCTCGGCCAAATGCAACTAAAATGGCAAACAGAACCGGTTGAGGAGGAATGCACAAAATAAAAAAAAAATAAGAAATATAACTAAAGCAGCAGCAACAACAACAGCAGAAGCAGAAACAGCAGCAAAATGCAAGGCAAGAAAAAATAGCAAAATGCGCAAGGCAACAACTAAAGAAGTACAGATGAAACTCCATAAGTCAAACAATTAAAAACCGAAGCCCAAACAAATGTAGACCTAAATTGAATTTTTGTATTTAATCTTTTGTCCAATTATAATAAATAATATAATATATATAAGCTAATTCAAACTTTTCTTTAAATAAAATAGGTCTAAAACATACTTAAACATTTAAAATGTATTCAAAATTTAACGAAAAACATTAATAATTCGTTGTTTCATACCTAATATTTTCACTAAAACTATAATTTTTTTGCTGTTTAATAATAAAATTAATTTATATAGCACAGAAAAACTAAAATAAAATTAAAATTCAAAATAACTAAGGCCAACTTAGGCAGACTGCACTGTAATCCAAGAGTTTCGGTCAGTCGCTGGAAAGCCCCTCCCCCCAACCACCCAACCCCCCTTGGTGCCATGCAAAATAAAAACCAAAAGGAATGACATAAATCTGCGTGGCAAACAAAAGACTCAGGCAACGAACGTGCCACAAAAGCGTGTTGCAACAAAAGCTCAAAGGCCTGCAACTGGATTACTGTTACACGAAAAGGTGCAAGCGGGATGGCAAACGTATGGGGAGCTAAGGGAGCGAGGGAGACAGCACACGGGGTCAAATGTTGCAAGTCCGCGAACTTTTGTAGGTGAATTGACTTCTGCTCGAGTCACCCCAAAAATGGTAAATGGGTGGGAAGCAATCAGCGGATGCGGCAAGGAGCGAAAGAAAAAGAGGGAGATGGGCGGCGGGGGCAAGCGAGATGGCAACAGCAACTAGTTTTCAGCCCAGAAAAGTGTTAAATAATAAGCTACAAGCAGTTTGAATTTTTTTAATAACAAAACAACATTTTTTGCATTTATCTTTTTTTTAAATATTTTTTTTAACCTTTAATTTATTTATTTATGTAAAATATTAGGTCAAATTTGAGAACGTTAAATAATAAAAACCTGCAACTACTCAACCTATAATAAAATAGTATAATTAACAAAGTCAAAAATGGTGACTAATGTTAGTTTTAATTGGGGTCTCACATATCATATTTCGTTTAATGAGTCATAATTTGGGGCATCATAGAAACAAATTCAAGCTTAGCTTAACAAAAATAAAAACGTAGCTGAACTAAATGCTTATTTTGATATGTATTTGATTTAATTGTGTCGTTTTTTTTTCTGTAACCCCTGAACAAAATAATTGTTAGTTGTTTTACTTTTCTATTTGCCTATTCCAAGCATTTTATGTGCTATTTATTTCTATGTTTTCATTTTTATACATAAATTAAGAGAATAAAGACTAATACAATTTAGAAGAGAAACAAATAATAGTAATATTAATTTATTTCAACAATAAAAAAAATTCCACTCAATCAGCAATCAAATAAAAAAAGTGCATTAATTTGAACTGCACAATTGGCATATGCATATGCAACAGGCCCCCGCCTTCGTTTCCCACCATCATTATTTTGGGTGTCCATTTAAGCCCCATTTGGAGGCCGAACTCTGAACTTTATTGTCTCGGCTCGGCTGGTATTTTTTCGTATCACTCGAGTCTCATTTATTGTTCTGCGGTTTTGTTTTCCTATTGACTGTGCTTTTCTTTTCTTCTCGTTGGCCACTTAGAAGTCGCTATACAAAACAACACTGCGGCACTCGGCGCAAATTTGCTGCGCACCACGAAAAAATATGACCCAAAATAAGAAGAGGCAAGAAATGGACAAGCGGCAAACGAAAATAAACAAAATGAAAAAACCGCAAAATAAATAAGACGAAAATTATGCAAAGCGCAGACAAATGCGCAAATTTGAAAAATGCCACAGCAACAACAATGGCAGCAGCAGCTGCGATTGGAGCCCACCCCCCTCAAAGAAATAAAAGTGCGGGCCCCATAATATGCAGAGTTCTCATTGGGGATTTATCGATACCCTAATAATGGACATTATAATCTCTGACTCAGCTAAAAAACTAAGAACTTGATCCTCATAGTTTACCGCCTGATTTATTAAAATTAATTTTTTTGCCAATTTTTGATTTTGCAACATAATTTTTTGCAAAAAATTGCAAAAATTTAAAATTTTCAGGTTGAAATGCCAATCGATTGGGGATTTTTTTACGAGTTCAACGAGGTATTGCATTCGATATTTTTATGACAAAAATACTATTTTTGTTTGTGTGGAATTTTGGATTTCGATTTTTGGTTCAAATTTGAGATTTTTCCTTAACGATTTTTTGCTGTAACTTGGGCAAAAATGGTCCCAAATCAAAAAGGAGTACTGTTTTGATCACCTTATAATTAATATCAGTGCACTTTTTTGTCTGAATTAAAAAAATTAATATTTTACCCAAATTTCACATTTTTGATAAGGGGTAACATCATAACTTTTTGCCAAAAATTGCAAAAATTTAAAATTTTTAGGTTTAAATGCCAATTGATTTGGGGATTTTATTACGAGTTCAACGAGGTATGGCATTCGATATTTGGATCACTATTTCAATTTTTATGACCAAAGTACTATTTTTGTTTGGGTGAAATATTAGGATTTTAATTTTACCATAAACTACAAATTTATTTAAAAAAAAATAAGAATTTTTTTTAGTTTTTAAAAGGAACTATAAACTTATTTACTTATTATTTCGCCTAAGCCTTAAATGAGTCAGCTGAAATACAAAAATAATCTCTTTGCTATTGGGTTTTCTTGAGCAACTAAATCGATTTCCCTGGAACAAACCCACTTGATACGTACGTGTGAATATGTGTGTCAGCTCGCTACCCAATTAGTTTCCCCCCACTGAAGCGCCCTTTTACGCCCCCCGCCCCTGGCCCTGGAAAATATAAAAGAAAATCAAGTTAGTTTTAGCACATCGAAGCTTTGAATACACTTGAAGAGCATTAAAATATGATTATACATTTTGTAAAATTTTATTGATAAAAATGTGCGAAGTAGGATAAAAAAATAATAGTAATAAAAAAACTACCTTATAAAGGGTATTTAATATTCACACAGGTTAAATTTAAAGTTTGGCGGCGCTTGACTTTGCTAATGGGTCTCATTCGCCGCTCAACTTCGTTATATCTCTTGGCTCAGTTCGTTTTCAGTTTCTGTTTCTGTTTGGGTTTTTTGGTTTTCAGTTTTCGGTTTCGACTTTGGGTTAACTTGGCCAAAATGGGCGGGGGCGGGCCGACAAAAAAGGGCGTTGCTGCCGCTGCTGCTGCTGCCGTTGTTGCTGCGGCGGCCTGTGTGTGTTGAACAAATATTACTCATGGCTCTTGGCCTGGCCCGATCATGTTGAACAGCATAGCTAACACCCAAGAACAACGTGACGAACAACGAACAACCAACAACGAGCGACGAACAACGATCGGCAAAGGCAAAGCAAAGCAAAGCCAAAAGCCTAAAGCTGACTTTTCAAGTTGTGCTGACTGATTGTCATGGCACGATAATGAAATAACATTTCCATACCCTCTCCGAAGGTAGTCACCCATGTGACTGGATTTGTATAGCAACAGCCTCCAAAAAATATAATTGAAATGTTGTATTTGGTAATAGTAATAAATATTTTTAAATGAATAAAAAATCTA